ACAACCTGTATTTTCTGTTAAAACTGGATTGTCTTGGAAACAGTTTGACGTAACCTGTATTTTCTGTTAAAACTGGATTGTCTTGGAAACAGTTTGACATAATCTGTATTTTCTGTTAATACTGGATTGTGTTGGAAACAGTATAACACAATCTGTATTTTCTGTTAAAACTGGATTGTCTTGGAAACAGTTTGACATAACCTGTATTTTCTGCTAAAACTGGATTGTCTTGGAAACAGTTTGACGTAACCTGTATTTTCTGTTAATACTGGATTGTGTTGGAAACAGTATAACACAATCTGTATTTTAAACTAATAATGTTTCATTTTGAAAACAATATGATGCAATATATAATTTCTATTACTTCTGATTAACCCTAAAAACGCTATGACAATGTGTATTTTCTGATGCTTCACAAAACTTCACTAGTCTTAAATAAAATTACTAAATACAACTGGTTGATTGAGGAATAGGTTTTTAGGTAAATTTTAAAAATGGTAAGTTTGTAAAATATTACTGTATTAGTGAGAATTATACGAGTGAGTTGTAAAATACTAATAAATAATTGAAAATTATTTCATAATTCCAAAGCATCTAAGCCTTTTTTTTACTTAATTGTTCATGTAACCACCATACAGGAGTATATTATGCAAAATAACAAGAATAGTTGTTGGAAGATAAAATTAAAACTTAAAAAATCTATAGTAATCACCTCAATTTTTTAATTTTATAAATAGGAACACTTCCCCCCTCCCTCCCAATGAGTAAGATTATTAAAGAAAATTCTACTCACTTCCACAAATTGAATTACTAAACCTCATCTAACTGCATTTTTTACATATGATACTATATAAAGTAGTAATTACTCTGACATTTTAATAATATCGCGTTTTTAGTATTTGTTAATAGATGGCAGCAGTTTTTGAAGTACAAAACCTGCTTCCAGTTTGCTAATAATTTGTTTTTCATTGAAGAAGTTGTGAAATCTCAAATATATATATATATATCTTTTGAGTTTAAGTTTTATTTTTGCAACTGCTTTTGGCCATTTTCAATAGATTTCCATCATGAAAACATAAAAGGCTGATAATTGATTAGTGATGGTAATTCTTATATATTTGTTTACTTTCTTTGCTATTTTAATAAATATTTTCACTATAGTAGTTTCAAATCAAGTCTTAAGTTTTATCATTATTATGACTATTCAGTAAGCGATAAGGCTAGTTTAAGAAGAAAAGTTAAGTGGAGTATTTTAAACAAATACGTTCGTATCTAGTTTATTTGTTAAGATTGAAAACTAACAATCTTCCATATCATGACACAGCAATTAAAAAGTTTTGTTAGGTTCCTGCTTGTTGTAAACAAAGTTTTCAATAATTACTACATAATAAAATCATAACAAGAAGTGTGACTTTAGCCCCACAGCAGTACGTCTGTGGACTTACAATGCTAGAAACCGGGTTTTGCTACTTGTGGTGGGCAGAGCACAGATAGCCCATTGTGTAGCAAACAAATGTGACTTCAGTTAAACAGTGAATGTTATGATAAGATCTTTCTTCTTCCAAGAATAGTACATAAATGACACAGTTTGCTATTGGATATGCTTAATTCAAAGGATAAATTCCAGAATGCTGCCGACTTGGTAAAGACGTCTGAGAGTTCAAGCTCATTAACTCTGTTAAAAAAGAAAACTGACATGATTTTAAATAAAATATATTAGTAAATTAGTTTTTAAGATTTCTGTGAAATGCACTATATTTTAAACATTTTAGATATATATGTAATTAAGATAATGTATTCTTCAGAAAACTATTAATTTTGGCAACTCTTTCATTTTTTTTTTAAATTACCTCTAAGGGTTATTTGAATTAAAAATGTATTATATTCTTCATTTAAAAATTTTAATTAACTTTTTTATTTCAAAAAATTATCAGTTTCCCCCAGCCTCGTATCTAATGACACCCATGAGGAAAAGTAATTTTAATGTATTAAAGTTGATTCAAGTATCAAGGTTATTTTTTTTTTGGCAGGTTACTTTATCCATGAAAGAGTTATTGAAATTATAGTTTTTTTTTATTGTGCAGAGATCCCAAGAAGAGGCCTGTCACTGTTGTATCTAATGCAGAGCTCCTCTGCCCACATCGTCTACTTCTTTATTCACCAGAGATCACAGGTGATATCGACCCACAAAGTAGGTTAGTCTAGTGTCGTTTTTTTGGGCATGTACTGTACCTACTAAAACTTAAGTTATATTATACCTGATCCGAGATTAAGAGCTAAGAAGCGAGGTGTAACATTTTATTCCATAAATCATAACACAAAGGCCACAAATAAATAATCAGTGACAAAAGGTTGAAATTCTTCCAATTTTATTGATAAAAATGTGACAATGATTCCAAATGAGGAAATTGGTACGCTGACTTGATCCTCAAACTGCTAATTATTCATAATATATATTCATAATGTTTACAGAAAAATCTTAAACAAGGTGTCACATATACATTTGTTATAGCACTTCTAAATGACACTTCTTCAGCTAAAACTAAGTAAATTTTAGGAAAATTCTGACAAGAAAATTCATAGCATGTTATTCGATAACTATTCCCAAGCAATTTAACACGGTAAAACCAAAATAAAAGGTCACTTAGAATATTATATATATTTCTCTTGGAACAGACGGTGAAATCAGCAAAATAAAAAGAGAGAGAGAGAAAGATATTATCTACAAAACACTTCGTATATTTCAGTACACTTGATATTTCTAAATGTAGTATTTATCCTGAAAACGAAGGTATTGTTATGTTTCATTTCAGTAAATACATTTTTAAGCCATATGTTTACAAAGATATTAATTTTTATAATACATAAGGTTTATTAATAAGGTGGTAGAAAAAATAGAGAAGACTTCCATTAAAATGTTTGTTAACACCAGCACATACATACGTAAATGTGGTCTACTTGTAACAGGCTTTATTTGGTGTGGGAGTACGAGTGGCGGATAATCGCTCGTTTGTTTCAAGTTGACACAGAGATTAGGGTGTGGAAAGAAATACAAAACAATTCCCCAGACTGTCCGGTTATTAACAGTACACCAGGTGAGTAATTTGATTGGTTATTGTCTCTCGATGGCTAACTGTTTGTTACTATAGATATTAGGTCACATTAAGCTAACTAATGATTACTATTCATATTAGCTATCATTAAACTAATTATTGATTACTACTAAGTGAGGGCACTGCGTATAATAGCCCAGTAGCCAGACTGCAGATCTGAGGCTCCGTGATTCACACCCCATTATCACCAAAATAAAATATTGTATTAATGCTGGGACTGTGGGTGTGTTATAAGAGTAATTGATGAAATCCCACTATTCAATTGGAATAGTCTACAAGTTGGCAGTTGATGGTGTTGACTAAGCTTGCACAAAACTCAACAAACAGAGACATTAAAGAACAATGAACTAGTTAACAATTACTATTAATATTAGCTAACCTTGAGCTAATTATTGAAATTAATAATTGTAAAACCAATTGTTAATTAGATTCAAAGGGATAATGTTTAAGGTATTACTGAATCCCATCGAGTTTTATGTTTTCCTTATTTTTATTTGCATTTTTTCAGTTTTCCACAGGATGTCATTTCTTTTGTTTTATGAAAACTATTTAAAACAGAAGTGAGCAAGATAATTGTCCCAAAGAAACAAAACTATGTTTACTGAAAAATATAAAGTTAGTGATTTTTAATTAAAATGCAATATAGTTCTTGTTATTCTTACCAGTTATATATCGGTATGGCAAATTAAACTAGTTTTCATATTTTACATATATTTTCTAGGGTTAAAAATCACTTCAAAGATAAGTCTTAACAGTGTGTTACTGTTATTGTTAATTACTTATTAGTTAAGACTAAAGAAAAGTTCAACCATTAGTTATCTACTGGTTTGGTATTTCGAGAAAGTTTCGTACAGTCAAAGACTTTCGACTTCTGAAAATTTTTCTTCACGTCAGAACGTAATTACCCAACTATTAGTTTTAACTTCTCTACTGGTGATTGTACAGTACAGTCTAGGATTTTGATAGAGTGAGTTTGATTAACCACTGCCTAATCACTAGTGCTATCCACATTTACACGGACTGGCTGTGGCAGGTGAAAGGGAGGCAGGTGGAGGCTAACTCTCTGTGTTCGAGGTTATTATCCTGTAGATAATAACCACTTTATGTACAGGAAACAATTTATTTTCTAGACTAGTTGGTTCTTTTTCTACCTAATCATCCAGCCTATAAAGCTGATAAAATTGAACCAGTCGGCGCAATTTGAGAATCTGTTGAAACTCTCAGAGTTTCATACCGTGAAGAATCATTTTTTAAAACACCCCGTATTTTCCTCATTGTCTGGGGGACTACACGTTGAAAATTACTATCGCAATGTTTGCCGCCGTAGATTAGGCTTATTCTTCGAATTTGAGTATTGTATGAGAGCAATTTTAGTTTTATCTTTAATACGTTCAACAAAGAAAGTTGAAAGTCGTATAAAACTGAATTATCGAAACAAAATGCAGTACGGTTTGCTTAGACTGGAACCAAAATTAGGAATTTATGAAGAAATTTGATATAAAATAAAAGTACAAGTCTGAATACGAAACACGTAAAGTAGGCGATAAAAAAAGTAAAACAAAAAACTTGATTTTTATGTTAAAAAAACAATAACAGTATTTTTTGTTTTCTTCAGACGTACCCCATATAGACGAAAAACCTCAATAATAATATGTTAATATATATATATACACACATTCAAGATTTAAATCCTGTCAACGAACATGCCCTTACATCATTGGGGACTCTTTATAATGTGACAATTAATCCCACTTCATTGGTAAATAATAGCCCAAGAGTTGGCGGTCGGTGGTGTTGACTAACTGCCTTCCCTCTAGTCTACAACTGCTAAACTAGGGACGGCTAGTGCCAATAGCCCTCGAGTAGCTTTGCGCGAAATTCAAAAACAAACTTGAACTTTGATTTAGAAGAACACATAATGTATTGGAAACAATGTAGATACATGAACTTCTTCAACTCCAATAACAAAATTTCTAGCAATTTTGTAATTTTCTTATTTTGTAATTAGGCTTGTACTTGTTCTTTTTTAAAAACCTTTGTTTTATGGTTCTATAAAACCGATTACGTATCTTGTAGTAATGTTTGGATGTTTGTTTTTGTTTGTTTTTTTTTAGTTTAGTACTTTGCCCTGAAAAAATTGTAAAATAGGAATATAGTATTGTTACGTCTCCGTTTTGTTAATTGATTTTCCGTAACTTCGTTCCGACGAAACTTTAGCGACACAAGTCC